GTACACGAATGTCGGACCGAAAGGAGCAAAATTGGCCCCTTAGGAGTGTCCACGTTTTGCTACATTTTTGTTAATTTTCAACAGACATTTGGTCTTCCAAAACTCCTGAAACTCCTATGTTAATTGTCATTTGTTAATGGGCAGGTTATAAGAGTTAGCCTTTATATATGTCTCGTTTTTCCACTGTCCATACACGAAAAAATTCATCTGCACACTGTTCCTGTTTCTCTGCATTTTTCGTTCCTGTTCTAGTCTGGTGATAATATATTTCAGACACAAAGTCAGTTCACCGGAGTAGAGTCTATTGTGCTCGGATTTTACTGGTTCATCCGTTGTATCCTGAAAAGCAGACGCTCGTACTATCCTCAAGCACGTACGGTGAGGGGGCGAATCTGTTTTAAGAAAACTGTGTTTGACACAGGCCTCGGGCTAAAAGTGTTATACTGTTTTATTTGTTCTTACTCGATTTGCATATTGTTCTTTTTGTAATTATTTAAATTACTTGTTATTTTTTATTGCAATCAACAAATCGTTGGATTTGTTATATGTACAGTTTATTATACGATATCCAGTCTGTAAATATGATATTCGATTTTGAAACAATTATCACACAGAAGTTGCAACGGTGTTTGGTCGGAAAATGGTATCTCGATTGGAGAATGCCAAGATTTTCAAGATTGCCAACTCTAAGTTTTGCCTTGATCCATATGGTTTTTCAGAGAGTGGAAGATTGAATCTTTAGACTTTCAACCTTTAGTTTTCTCACCGTTTTCATTTTCAACCCTTTATTAGTTGTGCAAATGGCCTACTTATAGACAATTTTAGGGGCATTTTAGTCCTTTTATTAGTTAACATCTTCTCATCATTATGTTGGAAGTAATGATTGATCCAAGTTTCAATATTCTCGTTGATGTTTGTACTTCTTGTGACACGTCATTTAACTCGTTACGTGCATTTATGATTTTATTTCATTGACATCTATGTTGGTTTAATTGTGTCAAGATTTGCACTTAAATGACGTCTATGTCTGAAACTGAGTCAAGGCTTTAATTTGTCTATTAGCCAAGTGATTGAAGGTCTATGTTCCTTAGTGCATCGATGAACGACTTGTAGTTGGGTTGGACACACATTGGAGTTGGAGTGCCAATATTCGTTCTGTAACACGTGGACATCCAATAAGGCCCTTTTATGGCTGATGTAGAGCGTAGGTAAACAATAATTATTTCAACATGTAACAATATATATATATATAGTTATTACTGTGTTAAGACAAATTTTTTTTAAGGCAGGACCTAAAATTATTAATGTATGAAGTTTAACTAAACCCTTGTTTGGTACACATTCTTTCAAAACTTATTTTTAATCACACATTTTTCAATAAAATAATATTTTACATCATATCAATAATTTTTTCTTACTTTTTAACCACATATTTTCATCGTATCACTATTTAAAATACATTTTTTTCTCAATAATATCTATCAAACACACCCTAAAAGAAATAGGATACTTTAATCTTTGCCTCTTGTCCCATTTTCAACGGGGCAGGGGATGAGAGGACTACCATGCTGTCGTCTCTAGGTATGAGACCCCTTGGATTTGGTTGTAGTGCGCTTCGCAGTTGTTCAGTCTTTTTATGTTCAATTCTTAGCTCTTCAATAAGGCCTCATTTTGCTCGAATTTTAAAACTGCAAATTGATATGACATGCAGGGCCAGCCCGAGACAATCGCATAAGGCCCATTTTAACGAAGGTTCCAAATAACGTAAGATTAATTGTCAGGTTGAAAAAAATAAAAATTATGATTACAAAATTCTTTAAATTAGAATTATCATGTGCAAACGCAAGAAACTAATAAAATTTAAAAATATAACCATATCTTAAAAAATCATATAAATGGCATAAAATTTATTACATACATTTATGTATCACAAAAATATATAACATTCATTACTTTCTCTTTATATAATTAATTTGATAATTTATCTTCACAACCGTCATTTTTGTCTCAACAAGAAACAAATGGTCATTTTTTTCTTTAAAATTTACGGTCATTACTTTTTCTAATACTCTCATAGGGCAGTCTTACATTTATTCAAGGAGCGGTTGTTAAAGGCACGGGTATTCATTTCTTTCTCTAGATTCATTTTTTTTTTTCAGTTTTTCAGTTTCATTGTGTTGATTAATATTTTAAATGAACTACTGCTTCTCTTTGTTATGTGGTTTGGGATTTTTCCAATACATCTTTTTCATATTTTTATGCTTGTATTGAAGTTTAAATCTTGCATTTTATTTTTCAATTTTCCTAATTATGTTTATTGTTTTTTAATTGTATTCAATCATTTTCTAAATCAAAGTCAACAACTAATTTTAACCATACATTTCATAAGATCCACAAATTTTCAACTACATTTTCCATCAACTTTTACCAAAATCTATTAAAATTTTGATTTTAATTTCTATCAAACAAGGGCTTAATATTCATAAGAGCTCATATTTGAAGTTAGCATTAAGGCCTCCAAAATATCAAGATCAATCCAATGACATGGTATGACTATGGTTAAATGGCTCAAATCCAAGGCCATGTCTGCTAAAAAATGGTAATGTGTATGATGAGGTTGGTAGTAGTTTTAATTCAAAAGGTTAGACGCGGCTCACGTCAATTCATTCAATATGGGAATCCAGTGGCCTATTTCAGCTTTTATAGTGCCTTCATTAAAATTGAAAATGAAAAAGAAAATTCGAAAAATCCTTAATTTTACCTTCCGAACAACTTAAAGCCCCACTCTAGTGATTTCAGACTACTTGGACCGGATTCAACTGTCTCGGTCTTCAGTCAGGCTGACCAATATATCTTTATCTTTCGTAATTTAGAATAAGAAAACAAATTAATTATCCATTTAACTATTTGCTCTTGAATAACCTCTAATCTACAATTTAAAATAAATTATGTAATCTAACATAAGCAAAATCAATTAAATGGACAATTATCAATTAATTTTAAAAGTACACAAAATACATTAATTATTCAATTGCTAATTAAATTAACTTATAATCTTGAAATCAAACAAATTACACACAGCGCAATTTAGAATCATAGACAATTCAATAATCAACTCACCAACATAATCTATAATATAATTCAGTTATCAACTATGATAGAAATGGGAAATACATTATGGAATTGTTATTCTAACCTAATGTAGGAAACAAATTAAACATGTTTTCTATTTGAAAACAAATTAAATACTAATCTAGAACCTGAAAAATTCTACAACGGCCATTCAATCTTCAATATAAAATTCTTAATTTAGAAAACAAATATAACTTAGAAAAGGAAACAAACAAATCTACCGAACAATGTTGGTCCATTTTCAGATTCTGGGGGTTAATACCAAGCAATGGTTATGTTCAAAAAAAAAAAAACCAAGCGTGTTTACTGTCGATCCCAACATCTAGAAATTTTAAACTCGCTATCACTACCAGTGAAGTCGAACTAAAGAAATACAGAACACTATTTTGCAAGTGCTTAAGCTACTAGTTGTCATCCTTGTTGCATTCAAGGACATGGTCTTTGAATTTTTGAAGCTCAGCCAATACCTCTTCCTCGGGTCTGTATAACAAATCGGTCATACGCCAGATCTGGAAAAGCAACACAATCCATCTCGTGTCAAATTAAAAGCAATTCAGCCAGCACAAAATTGAAGCATTAATCATGTCAGTCAGCACAATGTTGTAATACCTGCAAACTACCACCTCCACCAGAAAATTCTCCATCATCAGATACACTAACAACTGTCCACGGATCAGAGACACTCCACTGGAAGTCGACGACCTTGTCCCTATAACAAAAATTATAATTTTCAACCGCAAAGTTCAGCTTGATACATAATCATGGTCATGTTCAGCTCAATACATAATCATGGTTGTGGTCATGCTTTTATTGATCCATGGTTCTCAAATATTAACACACTTGCGTACAAATGTGCCATCTTCATTTGCACAATTTAAGGCATACTTTTTCTTCCATAGATGATTCTCATATAAAATGTAGTCTTAAAGATGCAGTTTACGCTCTTCTACACTTCAATTACCTTGCAACAGGGCCAAAACATATTCAATTAGCAATACAGAAACGCTCCTAAACAATTTAAATTTTGAATAATTGTTTCCATTTATACAACAATATCACGGTGAGCAGAAAGGGGAACAATGGAAAATTTGCCAACATTTATCATATGAAAAACCAATTTTTTGGGAAAGGTACAACAGATCCCATCTGCAAAGAGGAGAATGGGAGATCTCTAACCTGTGCCCAGCATGTTGGAAAAACAACCCCGGAGGAGCATTAGAAGATTTTAATCCACTTTCTTTCTGTTGACCAACCTGCAATGCGAAAAGAGACAAATTTGTAAACGTCCATAGATGGGTTGAACCAAATTAACATAGATTTTATGGGGTTTGTACGAGCATGAAGTACAACATCTGATGCATTGCTGGCCTTAAAATTTACGCCTTCCATATAGTGGACACATCACTAATTATTTTATTTACGACAAAGTTTCAACATCAAGATCTCAGATAGCAGTTGATACCACAGCAAAGGGGCAGAAAAAAATTAATAGAAAATAGGAGATTTCCTACCTTCTCATAATCCCAGATGTTCAACAAACCATCTTCAGCTGAGGTCCCAAATACAGAGCACTTTTCTGGAGACCACTGGAATTTGTATAATTGGTTAGGTAGATTTTTTTCCCCCCTTATAATCATTTAAAAGAACAAGATCTCTACATAATGCATCACCTAGTAAGCAACAGAACAATACAAATACAAATACAAATGTAGTACCTGGACACAAAGAACAGGAGCTGTATGACCTTCAAATTTATGGACAGGGGATCTAACTCCATCAGAGGTAAGATTGCGGCGATCAAACATGCTGACTGTATGATCCGCAGACCTGAAATAATGACATTGCAGAAGAACTTATATCTTTGATGAATTCAAGTTAAAACAAAAGAATTAAAGTAACTAGGAAAAGTCACATATGAACTTTTATAACATGCATATTTGGAGGCACGAGAGGCAAAGACCTACCCAGTTAGGATATAATTCTCATCATGAGAATTCCAATCTACACAGTGAAGATCTGCATTGTGTGCCTTTTCAACCTATTCATTAATCAAAGATCCTTAAGTTAGGAAATAACAACCTAAACTGAATTTATAGTTTCAACTTAAAAGTAGGTTCCAATAGGCATGTGCTGCTCTGTGCACTATCAGCTTCAACATCTATTGCTAACTTAAAAATGGACAATATATTTCTTATGGAAAGCAGTATTTGTTACCGTTGAAAGAAGTTTTATAATATTTTGATAGCACAAAACGTCCCTACATTTGCATGTAGTGTCCAAAACGTCCATACGTTTCAATTTTTTTGCATTTTCACCCCTATTTCAAAGTTTCATTGCGTAAAACGTCCTTTTAACCTATTTTTAACGTAAAATAACCAATATACCCTCCTATATAAATAAAACAAAAAAGAAATGAAAAGAAAAATAAAGAATAAATGGCAATCTTACTCCTAAACTTTTTAAAAAATGCAAATGAGTCCAAAATTTAAGAAAATATTAAAAATAAGGACAATTTTTGCCCCTAAACCGCCCAAAATGCATCCAAATTCCAGCAACCTATGGCCGCCAAAGTGTCGGACTTGGATACCCGTCGCCAGCCCTCAACTTTCCCTTCAATTAGCTACCAACACCTTCCAATTCCATCAACTATACAGCCCGGAATCACTGCCCAAAGTTCGCTGCCTGCAAATCTGAAAATCGCCGGAAAATCCACCTCCGTCCACCCCCATGATTAGAACTCTACACCGATCAATTGCCCATCACCAGACAACCCCATCCATGTCAAAAATTCACCCCAAACATCATCACTGACTTTCGAATTTATCCCAGAAGTTACGCCAGTCACACAATTCACATAGCTAGGTCCAAAGATGCCAAATTCTGATTCCGTCCGGTTGACCCATGGTCGCGGACCACCTGGGCTGCCTTCCCCTCCACATGGCGCACCTAGCCCAACCATGGGTCTTCCTCAATTTCGTCCAGAACGCAATCAATTTCGTCCAGAACGCATTGATGGATTCTTGATAAAATCATATCATCATTTATTTTTTTTCTCCAATTTCTTGTGTCATATGGCTAAAGATAAGATTTTTAGGTGTTCTGGGAGATGGGTTTTAGTTAAGAATGAGGAAAGATTTCTTGTGGTGGTGGTGGTGGTGGTGGAGGCGGCTGAGGGATTGGGAGGAGGATTATTTTTATTTTTGGTTATTTTTAATATTTTAATAATTTATTTGGACTCATTTGCATTTTTTAAAAAGTTTAGGAGTAAGATTGCAATTTATTCTTTATTTTTCTTATCTTTACTTTTTTGTTTTATTTATATAGGAGGGTATATGGGTCATTTTACGTTAAAAATAGGTAAAAATGACGTTTTCCGCAATGAAACGTTGAAATAAGGATGAAAATGCAAAAAATTGAAACGTATGGACGTTTTGTGCTATGAAGCCTTATCAAAATTCAGGCAATCAAGAAAGAATCCAGCTAACCTTTACAACCGGATTGCCTCCAATCCGTGCATCCCATAGTATCAAACAAGAATCGTCTCCAACGCTACAAAACTGCTGTGAGCTTCACCAGCATAAGCAATATGTCAGATTTGAAATGCAGATCAAACAAACTTGAGAGTATAACATACTCAGGAAAGAACAAAATGAAGTACAATCTTGTAACCTAGATATGTGATCAAGAAAAGGATTACACAAAAAGGGGCCTTGTGGACGGCGACCAAAGCCACGTTAGAGCAAGTAATCAGATAAACAGATCTGACGTGCACACTATCCAATCAAGAATGAATGTGTGCACATTACCTTGATGGGCAAAACTGCACATCCTCAACAGTATCCTCATGCCCATTGAAAACCCCACGTGGACCAATAGAAGGATTATCAGCAGCTTTTACAATGGAACCAGAAGATCCTGTATATTGGTTAGCATCTGAGGCCAATGTTGAAACATGATCCTGAATGCTCCATAATACCACAGATTTGTCCTTCCCTGTAAGACATTTCATCATCGTACAACAATCCAAAGAAAGCTTGGCCGAGGGCACCAAAGAAAGGAAAAGACGATGAGACAGTATAGTAATATATAGATTAAAAATATCCAAACCTCCAGAGAGCACAAAAGGTTCAGCCAGGCACATGGCAAGAGCAAATTCTGCATTATCTTGATGACCAGACAATACCTGAAAAAAAAGAAAAAAAATAGGGAAGAAGTTTATATCTCATGTTCTTCTCTCCAGAAAACACACACAACAGTTGTAGAACTCCAAACTAAATTAGTCATCCACAAGTGGGGCCAATGGATACAACACATTAATCAGGTGAAATCCAAAGTAGTTCTCACAAGACAAGTACCCTATATAAAAAAACCAAGACAGGACCAAACACCATTGATATCAAGACAATCTCATGCTGCACACAAACCAACTCAAATTTTTGGAAGTCAAGAATTGAGTACACATTATATAGGTCTCTTTCTGGAAAGGATGTGAATAGTCAAGTAATTTGTAACGAACTTATGCAAACTTACCAATGATACAACTTTGTAGCACATTGCGCTCACCACCTTAAAGACCTCCTGGCTTAAGGGGACTATTTACTTTGGGCATGAAACCTGAGCACAGGCTCTCTAGAATACCACGGCTTTATTATCTTATATGATTTTATTTTTTTAAAGTTAGTTTCATAGGATCAATATCTAGTATCCAAAACTAAAATAGATTTTTATCAATTTGAAGATATTGAAGAAGCAAAGACTATGCAGTATAAAAGCAAGTAAGCTGAAAACTATTTCCTTTTGAGCAATTATAGCAATTCTTCTAATCAAATACTCCAAGTATTTGCACCTACATGTACTCACTAAATATTTAACTATAAACCTCACCAACAAATTTCTAGGAGGCCAAAAAAACAATTTATCAGTAGACTATAAAGAAGGCACGTGCCTCATCATAGATCTAGTCATCCAGAGTAGTTTTCCTTACTCATTTAAACTTGTGAGGGTTCAAATTTCAATGCACACTCAAAAGGATCCAGAATACAAGTTCAAGCTAAGAATCATGGGAATCCTCTAGCAAAAACCGGAAAAAACCTTGGAATTTCCAAAATAATAATTTCCTGGGATCATCCATTATGGAAATTCTAGGTCATTTTACCCATGACTTTTGGCTTTGGATTGAGTGTGATTATATTGAGCTCATGCTGTAACTATATTTTACATATGGTTTCATCCCACAACCAGGTTTCCATGTCAAACGTTTACAGAAGTAACTTTTTTAATTTATAACTTATAAATTGATAAATGTGATCTTTCACACTTAAAAATGTAATCACAATTAGAATTCTGCAAAAAAATCCATAATCAGGAGAAAACTTGGAGAAAAAGAGCATACACACTATAATCTTTTAGTTTTCACAGCTCTCAACCAACCGACTTTTATGGAACTGTCAATCTCAAAAGATATGGTAAACAAGTAATGAAAAATCAATTTAGAATATAAGATAATTCAAACAATAGATAAGAATTGGAAGGACTGTTGTGATCAGTTGAAATGAATGAGGAAAAAATGCACCATATTTAGATTTCAACCAGTAGCTCGTACAACAAAATCAATTTAAAGAACTAGATAATTCCCACGAGAAAAAAATAATAATAATAAAGACAGGAACAATATGATCATCTAAAAAAATGAAATTTGAAAAAACAAAGAAAAAAGCACCAGATCTGGACGTGATTCGGCAGCTCCAAGGACAGCATGACGATTAGGTTGAGCCTCAACATCCCATATAAGAACCTGATTCAACAATATTCAACCCCAATTTAATCTGAATATTTCAAACTACTGAAACCACAGATCTAGACAGATCATCATATGGAACATAAACCTTGATTTTGTCACTTACTTCAGGACAGTCAGTGTGCGTTGCCACTATATTTTTATTCTGAGGAAGCTCCCTGATTCTGTTCACCTACAGTATGATTGGCAAACCAAAATAATGAGTGGTAGCAACAGCAGCAACGTCACAATAATCTATAATAAACAACAGAGATTATGTCAAGTAATCTGTAAGCCTTTACGATCAAATATCAAATGCAAGATCATATTATAAGAAACACTTGATTAATAAATAAACTCAATCAAATTTTGCAAGTATCCATGTACCGCAAGCTTCTAAACTCTGTTAGGCAGGCCAATTGACAGATCAAAGGACAAACAAGTTGTCGCATGTCAGTGTTAGCTTCATTTTTTATGTTTACTTGGTCTTTCGTGGGGAACAACCTTCACTGGGTAGTAGGAGTGCCCTAACACAGTCTCATATCTCCAATACCTTCTTCTACCCTTCATTATAGTGCTTAGAACAATAAAACATCTAGTGGTAAGGGACGGATGATGTGGAAGGAACAATTTGATAAGGTCATGATGTCTTCTCGGTGGTAAGTGATTGTGCATTCTCCTTAGAATCAAATGTATTTACGCATAAAACATAATCGAAGGCCAGGATGGTTCATCTAATCTTCCTTCAAAGTTCCTACTAATTTTAGTGTTGTTTTTAGGAAAAGAAGTTAGAAATAGTGCTCTGAAATCAATTTCTATGTATGTACCTTTTCTTATCTAATAAATTAAAGTGAGACATTGTAATTATTCCAAGAATAAACATTGAGCAAAGATTGAAGTGTTCCAAGGTTGCATTGGAAATTACGCACTTACGAGCATCTAAGAAATTTATAATTGACAATATATAACCTAAAGATTTTGCTCATGAATGGTGGATAAAGTTGTGAGCTTTATAAAAACATAATGACGTCAGCCTCGAAGGTGGGTGAGTAGCTTGGGACTTCTTAGTAGTAGCACTTGTGCATTTAGAATGCATGGGATATGACCACGTGAAATTTTTAATTTGGTATAACGAAAATTAAACCTTGACTGGATAAGCTGTTACTTATGGCCTAAGATCTTTGACATATTAGGAATCAGACTATAATGTTATTAAGACCTAGGTGTCTTTGGACTGGAATACAGGTATCAAAATATTGAGAACATATACTGACAAGGTGGAATCTACGACTACACTGGATAGATCTAAGCACCAACTAATTTAGTGTGGTTTAGTAGACTTGACAAATTTTTATATTTTTGTTTGGATCACAAATTAAATAATTTATAAGAAATATGTGATTTAAAGACAGATTGTAAATCGTAGTAGAAAATTAAGCAATAATTAGAGGGGTAAATCCATAATTTTATACTCACTTCTACTTATGAGATATTCATGGTGATAGACTGTGGGTCTTGACGATCTAAGGGCCTAATTTTTCTTAACTTTTTACTGGTCTACAACCCGCCTCAATAATTCAAGAATGCATTTTGAGTTTTAAGTGGACTGACTTAAATTAATAATTGACCCCAATAGATCAAGTTGCCCCCGTCAGGATTTTGACCATTTCATTTCAATCATAAGAGTGCAATGGTTCCCTAGCTAGCTTTGTAACTTAAAGAATGTTTTGAAAATTTACCGGACTAGGATTAGACATAGAGATTGGACAAGATAGGTAACTAGGGCAACAGGTTAAAAGACATGCAGTGGCTATATAATAATTCACAATAGGGGATGTCTGCTCCCATCAAGGGGTGACCCAGTCCACGACACACACTCACAGGTGTGTTTTCTTCTAAATTTGTCAAAATCCTGCTGAGTTCCACTTCGATAAAGGCGTCCTCCGCCATGTGTAGCTGGCAAGCCAAAGGAAAAAGGCAAGAGAGCGGTTATCGAGTATTTGGGTAATCTCTCTTGTTCCGTTATATCTCTACGAGTGGACCTATGTTGGTTTGAACAAAATCTTTTTTATTGTTACCTTCAGCTGCTTATCGTGTTTCTCTAGATTCAAAACCAGTAGAGGTGACTTACAATACTGAATTTCATATACTACATCCTTCGTCATCATCAAATCATGTGTCCAATGCCTAGATCCAGACTATCTAAGATAGTCAAATTGCAAGAAAAGGTAGAGAAGCCAATGTGAAGAACTTCTCCCAGGTTTTCCATCTTAATACTCTATTTCACCCCGAAAAGATCCTTTCTTCCAGTACGAAACTCAGCAAGCAAGAAGTGAAAGGACGGAGATTGAAGAGTTGAGAACATCAACTTGTAGACAAAGGAGATTGATTAATAAATTGAGAGTCGATATGATCCTTGTCTTTTTGAGAATTTTAATGTAGCAATCATGTATATAATCCATGTTTCATGAGTAAACCCTTTTTAATTCTCATCTGTAATAATGACAATATTCCTTTTATCTTGTACTCTTTAATTTGGGGGTACTCAAGGCTCCATATAAAGTGAAAACCTTCTTGATTAATGGAACTTGAAGATACGAAAAAATGTACCTCCGTTATATATATGTTCTGTAGGAGATAGAATCCAGATGCTAGAAACCCGTTTTCTTTTAGTGCATTTACTAGATAAATTATTCCAGACAGTAGAAAATTGAGTTATACCAATTTGTATATAGGAGTTTGCAACAGTTAAATTTTAAGGTTTTAGTTGGAGCCTTGGAGGTAGGCAAAGGATCGATAGATTCAGAAATGTCAATTAATGATTTTGGCTCAAAAAGAAGAATTTTCATTAACTTCCTCCTAATCTTTTACGGATGTAGGATTGAGCTGGTATCTTGCCTCCTTGAGGTCCAAGGGGTCAGGACGTGTGTTCAGTATGGTTATAACTTTTTTCACATCTTCAAGCAATTCAGATTTTCAGATTGTTCACTTAAAAGAAAACTTGAGCTCTTAGCATGTAATTCTCTTATACTCTCGATAGTTTCCTGTTTTCACTAAAAAGAAAAATTGGAGAAGTAGCAGAAAAGCAAACACAGTTTGCTATTTATTTGGTATGCATCATTGATTTGACAGGGTTCCCATATTTTGTTTATTTGGTTGAATGATATTTTCATTTCTAATACAATTTTATTCAGCTTGAGGATGTCACCTATTACTATAAGAAATTCTAGCTACAAAATTTACAACCTCAAATACACCTATTGAGGGCTCAAAAAAATTATATTTGTGCATAAAAAGGCATGTAATTTACAAACTCTAAAAAATGTATAATAACCCTCAAATAAATAAATACGAAGCAGCACATAGACTTATTCGAATGGAATGCATAGTTGTGCATATAAAGGGATATCCGTGTAGCTCGTACCTCTCCAGGATGTATGATAGTTTTGTATTTCTTCACAAAAGGTGAGCGAGCATCTTCATTGAACTAGCAATCAAAGAATTAATCAAAGTTAATTAACATGAAATTAAAGACGCAAGTTAAAAATTGGTGGAAAAAGATAAAAATTTACATTTGCTACATGATTTGCTGCTGCAACTCGGGGCTTCACAATATCGCAATTTGCTATAATCAAAGTGTTTGGCACTGTCTGGTCCGTCTGATGAACAGAATAGGTAGCCAAGAAATGCAATCAGCTAACTAGTAGAATTAGAAGGTATACACTATACTATTTGAAAGTTTGAAAGGGGGTAGCAATTCCACAAAATTGAAGCTTTTAAAAAATCAAGAATGTTAATTTTAAAATCTGTAGGCAATAACTACAATGAAGGAAAACTCAAAAGATCACATGTGGAAAGGCATACCATTTGCACCGGGACGAAGAATTAGAGGTACTGGTAAATCAGGCAAATACATAAAATGAAATTCCTTTATCTTATCGCCCATTTGATATTTAAAAAATTGAAATTCAATTTCGTATCTCCTTTGTTCGGAAACTAAAAAAGAAAAGGAAAAAGAGAACAGTCATAAGTTTTGATCTGGTGAAGATAAAAAGGAGATGGATGCAAAACGTAAAACTTCTCAATGCTAGTATGCTTTTATAAAACAGCATTAATCCTTAAGATTGTAGATCTAGTGGCAGAAATTGAAAGTTAGAAAAAAAAAAAAATACAGTCTCAACAAATATTTGGGGACCATTGATAAATGAATAATATCACTAACAAAGTAAGTTTACCTGTTCCGAAAGATAAAGCCGTTGTTTGTTTTTGTAAGTTCCTGTCTCGAGAACAGGGCCCCACCTACACCAATGAAAAAACCAAAATAATATATTATCATACCATGTATCACATTGATTACAAAATACCAAAACAAACATAACAATCCATTAAACACATCAACACAAAAGTCAAGGAATCTCACAACTTGTAACCATTATAGCATTCCATAATTTGAAGTTTTAATTCACCTAGAAATTTTTCATAGCCTTATTTCATTTTCAATTTTAGGAACTCTGCCTGTACCATGCTCCAATATGAAGGCCAGATAAAAAAGGGTTACTTTGAGTAGTCTAACAGCATACAGTTATTTTTTGTCAATTCGTTTATACACATTCATCTTCAAATTTGACAGAAAACAGTACATGGAGTAGAAGTAACCATTTTAAAGAGCTGATCCCAAATGAGTAACGCACGAGACTTAGCACATGTTTGAGCCACATGCTCTAAAGACTCATTTCTTTTTTCTCAAACTCATTTTCAACTGCCCATCCTCGCAATAAAATAATTTTGCACATAAACTCAAAGCTTCTCCTTACTTTCTAAACACACATACTCCAGAAAATAACTACTACAAAACTCATTTTCACAAAATATAAGGCTCAAACATAGCCTTAGTTGAATTGTTTTGAGTTATTAAATTCCAGTGCATGGTCTACCTAGAAATAAAATCAGCAAAAAAATTTATATATTTTTAACTCAGTCCACGTGAGTGTATTTGACCAAATACGCAAATCCACTCCCACACAAACAGGGACATAAATACATATACGGGCTCGAGATGTTAATAACAGGTGATTATGGCGATATAATTGTAAATAAATCAATCAGGAACTTCCATTTAACGAATTTAAAACCCTAAGATCGAGAAAGTCAAAAAGTTAAAATTCAAACAGAAACACACATATGGGCACACAATTCAAACAAAAGCCTTTATAAAACCCTAAAAAAGATTCATACACAAGACTTGCATAATTCAGTAAAAGAAATTTTCGTTATAGAATTCAAAAGACCCTAAAACTGAGAGCAACAGCATCAGTTAAACCCGGAACAGAAAAAAACAGATATACTTACAAATCTTAAACATAAACAATATTTATTTACTCAGGAACATAAAACATTCTACAGTACAATTACAGTATTCAGGGTTTCGAAAATAAAATCCTTACAAAACCCTAAGAAAACCAAAAATAAAAGAAAATGTATTCGTTGTACCGGCAAGAGAGAGATGGCCACAGTAGATTATGATGAGCAAACCAGTCATACAGCACGGGGACCAACAGCTTCCACTGAGCGTAATTCTCGTCCGCGGCCGAGTTTTTATTCCCGCCGATCGCACCTCTCATTTTTGCAGCTGGTCCGCCGCCACTAGCCTCTCTCTCCTTCTCTGCCTTGGCCTTAGTCGATCCCTTTGGCCTACCCCGCTTCCTCGGCTCACTCGGTGGCGTCGCCTCCATTTTGATTTTTCTTCGTTTTTCTTTCTTTCAATTCCAGTAGTGAAGAGTGAAGTAAGGACGAGAGTGAAGGGACTTGTACACGTGCATTTTTGAATTACGGGCCGCGGTCTCAAAATTTAATTCTCATTTTCAACCACACATTCTTCAATAAAATAATATTTTCCATCACATCAATAATTTTTTCTTCTTTTTCAACCACACATTTCCCATCATATCACTATTCAAAATCAATTCTTCCCCCAAAAATCTCTCTCAAACAAGCACTAAAATTAGATTCTTAGCATCCGAGAGACTCTTCATTGGTGAGTTTGAGCCACGTTATTTTTTGGAAAAATGTATTTTGAAATATTAGATTAATAAAAAATATGTGATTGAAAAAAAAAAGTTATTGATGTGATGAAAAATATTATTTTATTGAAAAATATATGGTTGAAAATGAATAGAAGAATGATAATGAAAATTTTAATGTGGTTCAAATGGAGCTAAACATAAGATGCTCTCTATTTTAAAGGGTCAACATTTAAAATCATGATTTAAGAGACTCTTTAAATTAACATTTTAATTTGGAGAGTGGGTCCTTATAATTAAATGCATTCAAAGTATTTCTTCAATATAAAAAAAATAAAATAATATAAAGAAAAGTAAGTTAAAATGAAGAAAAATAATAAATATTTTTTTAGAGTAGCAAAATTAAGTGTTAAATATAAAGAGCTTGTTGAAGTATTTCAAAATTCTAACTTTTTAAATGTATAGATGATATCTAAATGATAGAATATGTTCTTTAAAATTGTAGAGTCTCTTGGAGATGCTCGTAGACCTGTTAGATTGAAATCTAATCCTGGTTTAAACTCATTTTTTTCAAAATTCATTTTCAACAATGTATTCTTCAATAAAATAATATTATAATTCTTAATTTTTAACCACAAATTCTTTAAAAATCAGTATTTCAAAATGCATTTTTTCTCTCAAAATGGCCCTTGTTTGATTTTCACTTTTCTTAAAATATTTCTATCTCTTCTTTTTAACCAAGTATTTTTCAATAAAATAATATTATACACAAACTCAAAAAATTTCCTTATTTTTTAGTCATACATTCTACATCATTCTATTATTTCAAAATGCATTCTAACTCAAAAATTGGGTATCGAACATACCCCTAAGTCAAAATTAATAATTAATTTTGACCATATATTTTATCGAATCCATAATTTTTCAACCACACATTTCATCAACTTTTATAAGAATCTACTAAAAAATTAATTTTAATTCTCATGAAATAAACTTAGTAAATTTTGATAAAAGTTGATAAAATGTAAAGTTAAAATATTTATAAAAGTTGTAGATCCAATTAAAATGAGTGATTGAAAGTGAGTTATAGGAAAAAATGAATTTTAATATATGAGAACCAAACGAGGCTTAATATCTACTTGATACAACTTTATTCTTTCGAGGGTTTTTTCTCTTAGGAATTTTTTAAGAAGCACTAATTGGGAAGAATTAATCTAAATGGACATGTTCAATGACAACATTTGGTGACAGTGTTTAAAAAAAAAAATTGAGCTGGCAAGGTAAAAAAAGAGAGCTAAGCTGGCAGTAGAAAAAAAGGGAATGAAAGGATGGAAAATTACACTACATTGGTATACAACCAAATTCATTTAGCCTAGCCTTTATTTGAAGAATACTTGAAGCCCCCAAATTGAAAAGGGTCTCTCCCCAGAGTCCCGATCGTCGACAATCTGACCATCTTGTCGAGTTTCAGCTTATCCACGTGAGACACAATATTTAATACAGCCCATTACACGTCTAGAAGAACATCAACTCATTTTTCTCCAGCTCCGACCAGACAATATGGAGCCCATTAAACGTAGTGAATAAGAGTAAAGTGTGAGAAACCCGCTCCGCTCAAAAAAAAGGTGAAGCTCCAACCCGGTCTATAAACACGAAGATGTATGATACGGTTGATGAATTTATTAGTTAAAGTTTAAAAACCTCTAAATTTTGACATTTTGTGGTGTTCGGTATATTCATGATGCGATATTATTTGTATTTGATTTAGTTCTAGCTCACTTTTGGAGGATTAGTTTGAAATTTAAACTTTTGGGAGATTAGTTTAACTACAAATGGTGGAATTAATTTTCATCAATGTGATGCTTCTTATCATATTTGCGGACTTCATGATGTTCATAATTACAATTAATTCGTTTACAGCACCTTAGGCTGAATATTATATTTGCATACTTGCAGGTAGATATATTAGTGAATTCCTAATTATTGTTAGAGAATGATACTAATTGAAATCATTCTACTGTGTTTATATTGTGCTAAACTTGACTAATGTGTATATCGCAATAGAAGAAATTATGGATGACGTGCAAGATGAGTATGATGATATTTTGGAGGAATTTGATAATGAAAACATTACGAACAATGTGAACATAGTGGGAAGCGAAACATTAGGGGTAAGATAGTGTGATTGTGCCAGAGGTGGGTATGGTGTTCAAAAGTGAGACAGAGATTTATACCATAGGCTGTCCAGTTAAGAAAAGAAATTTGAAAAAGAGAAAGATGGAGTTTTGAGATATATCACATTAACATGTAGTCGTGAAGGCTGAAGAGATGTTAGTATTAGCTGTTCATTGAAGCCTCGACCAACAATTTGGATGGGTTGTAAAGCCAAGATCTCTGCATCTTCAAATATCTATGGAACATGGAGAATTAACACAGTCCACCTCAACCATAATCATGAAACAAGCCCATCGAAATCAATGTTATATCGATGCAACCGAGAACTGAGTGCACATGTCAAACAGAAGCTTGAAGTGAATGATTTGGCAGGAATTCCGTTACACAAAAGCTACAACTCTGCAGCTGTAGAAGCAGGTGGATATGAGAACATGACTTGCATTAAGAATTTGGAGAAGGAAATGTTGTAGCAATGCAATCATACTTCTCAAAAATGCAAACTCAATGCTCGGGTTCGTACTCTAGTATGGATTTAGACGACGAGTCACGACTGAAAAAATAAAATAAAATTGGGCAAATAATCGATATAGGTAATCATATAAGAAGTTCGACGATGTTGTCACGTTTGATAACACTTATCTTACTAATAAGTACAACATTCCTTTCGTCTCATTTGTTGGTGTAAATCATCACGGACAATCAACATTGCTCGGTTGTGGTTTGTTATCGAATGAAGACACGAGTACTTTTATTTGGTTGTTTAGGACATGGTTTCAGTGCATGCGGTCCAAGCTCCACAAGGGATAATTACGAATCAAGATAGGGCCATGCAAAATGTAATTCAAATAGTATTTTCAAATACGAGGCATGTGTGGTGTTTGTGGCATATTTTAAAGAAGTTTCCAGAGAAGTTTAGCTATCACGTAGATATGGGTTCAATATTTAGGGCTATTCATGAATTGGTGTATGAATCATAGTTTGTAAAAGAATTTGAAAACGATTAGAAAGTAATAATTGATACGTACGGCTTGCAAGATAGTGATTGGTTGTCGGGATTGTATGAGACCAGAGCTCGTTAGGTTCCGTACTTTTTCAAAACTACCTTTTGGGCTAGGATGTCGACAACACAAAGAAGTGAGAATATGAATGCATTTTTTATGGGTATGTGCATTCCAAGACCTCTTTGAAGTATTTTGTTGAACAGTATAAACGTACACTGAAGAATAAGATTGAGGAGTTCCAGTTTGATTTCAAGTTGTTCTCGCAAATGGTACCTTGTGCAACGCAGTTTGAAAATGGAAAAGAAGTTTTAGTTAGTTTACACCATTTTAAAATTCAAGGTGGCTCAGGAGGGGTTCACGAAAAAGGTTTATTAGGATATCATATCTATTTCTGACATATGTTTGGGAACCACATATGAGGTATGTGGAGGTTGTTACAAATGATGGCCGTCAGAGGGAAAAAAAACATTTTTGGTATCATTTGAGGAGTACCTTCAAAGGGCTGAAGCTGCCCTGAGTAAATCCAAGGCCAAGGCATCTTCTACCAATGAAGTCATTGAGGCCTCTAAGTTATAGCACGCTGAGGTAGAGTTAAAGATGGAAGCACTTTTCAAAGAATATAATGAATTGAAGAAGGAAGCCCATCTCTACAAAGCTAAAGTCACCCACTTGGAGCAACATTTGAGCAGGGCAGAAGAGGCAGTAGTGAATAAATACATTTCCCATTTCCATGAAACAGTTGAGTATGACGACATTGGTCTGTATTGGAGGAAGGTCGCATAGAATGACGTCATGGGAAGGCTTGCCGACCTGCATCCCTAGCTAGAGTTATCTTCTTTCAAAGATGAATTTCTACCAGATGAGCCATCCACCCCTGCTTATGAAGTGGAGGACTCGATAGAGAAGGTGGATGCCCAGGAAGGGCTTCAACAGGATGACACTGCCGTTTAGACTAGACTTTCTATTTGTAATCCCTTTGTAGCAATTCCTTCTTTGTAATGAATTCAATTCTATTTGCAATTTCTTTGTAGCAATTCTTTCTTTGATATGAATTCAATTCCATTTGTAATTTCTTTCTAATAGTTCTTTCTTCTTGTAGCAATTCTTTGTGTTTGTAACTAATTGACCATAAACTGATCACATTTGAACTTGTGCTCTCCATAACTAACTTTGAACTTGTCAGCGTTAATGGAACTGAATTAACACACGGGCTCGCCATAATCATCTCAATTATGGATCTAATATTTAATTTAGCGATAAATTGTAACAAATAACAAATTAGTAGGCATCATAGCAATTAAACATAACAATCNTGCAAAAGTTTAATTACAATTCATGAATCTAAGAGAGAAATAATGAAGAATGAAGTTTGGAGGGGTTCTGTACGTTCTTCCTCCGTTCTAGGGTTTTAAAATATGTATTTATAGTTATTTCTATAGGTAGTTGACTTAAATTCGGAAATTGAAGATTCGTCTGTGAAAAATTCATGTGCGCGCGCGCCGTATATTTTCTTGCCCACACGTCGTTTATTAGTTT